ATTATGAACAGATCATATTGCTTTAGATTTAATTAAAAATATCCAGAAAAAATCCATATAGTGAAGTTTAATAACATGAATGGAAAAGTATAGTTAGTGGCATCGAATATCCAGAAGCTGAAATCAGAAATTTCTTAACAGTTCCGCTCATTAAAGAAGAGTAAAAAGAAGTTGTAGTTTGCCTAGAAAGAAGCACCGTTAAAAAAGACTGTTAGTGGCAAAATTTTTAGCGATTTCTTGTAGATGTTATTCTATAAAAATTGATTTCAAAAAAGTATAGCTCTTAATCGAAGATAGGTACCGAAACTGACTCATGAAATGAGAAATCGTATAGACAAACATCTGAACACTCCACAAGCCTGTTTCAAGGAAATATTCAACAAACAAAGACTCTATAAAGCGACAAACTAAAAATTTTTAGGCAGGAAATCTTATTGATGGGAAATATACCCTCACGTACAGTTGACGTCGAGATTTACAATATCGTTATGGCTTATGCCTTGTCCAATTTAAGCATACCTCGGCTTTTTGCAAAATTATAACACTGGAAAACATTCCCAGGCTAATACTGTAAATGAAGCGCATCATTACACCATTAATGTGTATTAATGACGACCTGTGTTGGATTCTTCGAGTTTTTTTCCGGATTTGCCACGGTTCGTGGAAGGAAAGCATTTAAATTCTTCATCAATTGTCTTACATCTACAGATTGTGGTTGTAGGAGCTAAGAAGGTCAGCACGAGGTGTAATAGCAACTTACATTACTGGAAATATAACAGATCAAATAAAAGCTACTTTAAAACTTTGCGAAATCAGTATCCTTGTTTTTGCAATACATTCTAAAAATAATTGCACCAAAAAGACAATATCTGTAAGGTGGCATCAAAGTTGGCATTACTTAGATTTTAAAATGGGTAGGGTTTAATTTTTTCAGTCAAGTATGAAATAAAAGTTAAAAGTAACAACAATTCAAATAATTTCTAACAATATTAACACCTAGTTACTTTATGAATAAAAAATTGAAGAAACAGAAACAAGATCTTGTTATATCACAACTTGAGGAAATTGTTCATTGAGTCGTTTTAGACTTAAAAACTTCAAGCAAAATCTGAAGCTAATGATGTTTGAAATTTAAGAGAATTTATTCAAGATGTTTGTGTGTTTATTCAAGATGTTCGATGAAAAAACTTAGCATAATAATTTAACGAATTAAAAGAATAAAAAATTCACCGAATTGGTATATAAATCTGCCAACAATTGGTTAGGAGACACTGAGTTACTCAGAACTTTTCCCCACTGAATATTTTAAAAATTGGATAAAACTGCATTAAATTGCTAATGATATTTCCAAGAAAATCGAAAATATAAAATCATTTCAGTTATTAGGTATTTTTTTGAATAAAAAAATGTATTTACTTAGCTTTGGGTCGGTTTAAACAGATATTTTCACATTTTTCATTTCGCAATTGACTTGTTAATTTCTAAAAATTGTTTGACAATATAATAGAAAAATTATAATAGTATTATGTTCTGCATAATATGTTTAAAGACAAAGATTTTAAACAATATTATTGACCAATATTTTAACAATTGCATAAAAAAAAATATCCATGTTTTGTATTGTTGTTATCTGAAGATGGGATAAAACCCGAAAGATCGTAATAAACAATTGTTAAAAGGAAAAATAGTTTTATAAACAAATTATATACTTTGACCAATAACCCAGAAGATTGATAACTTTCAAGTTCTTATCTCTCTCTATTTGTCGCAGAACATGTCGCTAAAGAAAAATATTCGGAATAGAACTGTAAGGTAGGTTAAAAAAAACATATTTATAGCGGTTTTTCGATGTGTAATGTGCCACCAAGAGCTCATTTTTTTTAACTTATCGGGTTACGCTCTCTCTTAACCATCGAAAAAATACCGAACTGATTATGTCCTCGAACCATAAAAATCACGGATGACTGAAGACCCGAATCCGAAAAATACAGAACGAAAGTACCATTGCTGTAGCTTTGTCCAATTAATATTAATGGAGATCTCTTACCTACATCTACATGGTTCAGTGGTAATCTAGTGTGGGTAGAGTATGACTAAGAACACAAAGAGCATTCCCCTATTAATACAGTTAAATAGTATTATTTACTTTTTATGCTCTATAATTGGTGTTCATAAACAACGGTTATGTTTTATAGACGGCAATGAATATTAAAAATAACATAATCGGTGCATGAATTGTTTATAAGTTTACGGAAATTTAATGATGAATATATTTGAATATAATAGGTCTCTTTATAATTTATTTTACACATTTTTTTTATTTAGTTCTATAACCTGATATACAAATTGTAACACTACGGTGTGTTAAAAATGGAAGGCATTTTCCTTGTTTAAATGTAAAGAAGATACTTTCAAAGAAATGATTTATTATTACACTTTATGACATTTAACTTAACTTTAACTTTAAAAAAAACTTAAATATGAGGTATATTGGTTGTGGTTTTCCCAAAAATTATAGCCACTGAAATAAAATGCTTCATTTTACTTCAGAAATCAAATTATTTTTAAATTTATATGATATGTTCAGATAAATTATACAGGGTCTAACACAATACCGTGCCAAAAATGAAGAATCTTTTTTACATCAAAATTTAAGAATATTTTCTTTTCCACATAAATATTTACTCTTGAAGCCTTCATCGTTTAAATACAGGGTGTTGAAGTTTTCGGCAAGGAGTATCGACAGATTAATAAGAATAAATTGTAGTTTTAAGAGAGTAAGAGGATATGCGAAATAACTAATCGTATCATCTTTATAAATTGCTGGTTTGTACAAAGATGACAAAAGTCATTTTTGTTTGAAATAATATTTTCATCTCAAAAATATTTTTCCAGTCACCTGTTATAATTTAAAAAAAATGTAAGTATCTCATGGGCATGCAACTGGGTTTTAGCTGCTACTTAATTTTTCAGGCTACCTAAATACCATTTGAATCATACAATTTTTTGTGAGCATAAAATTTCGTTTCAATATCTATATTTGTTCAGATATATATATATTTCTTTTAACACCATGAACATATAAGAAAAAAACAATTTTTGGACTAAGAGAACATTGTTTCATTTTTGATACGTTGTAGTAAAGATATTGACTAAAATACCCTGTATTTTAGTCAACGATTTTTTGGTAGTATAATATTTTCAATTCTGAATATGAATTATTTTTTTACACTTTATTTGTTACCAACACTGAATATGTACAGGATGTCCCACATAGCCCTATCCATAGGTGTCAACGACAGAAACGTTAAGTTGAAATTTAGCATTTTGGAAATGATCCTGTTTGATTAAAGTGTAACTTAGGGTAAATAAATATTTTACGTGTAGGTAAAGCGATATTATCGTATAAGATCAACAAATTTTATGAATGAATGCATTCGTTGAATTCGCTAATAAAAAATTCTTATAATTTTACGTAGGTATTACCTACCTATATGCATCAAAATTAGGTTCGGTTTTTTTGTTTGCGTTATTGTTTTATTTTAAGTATAAATGCAATAATTATTATATCAATTACGAGTTTTTTATTTGTAAGCCTGTTTTACCAAATAAGTATCTAGTTCAATATTCGCCATTTATCAAATATTTGCTGTTTTTTTGTTGTTTTTTTAAAAATTTTGTATAAACACATATTTTTTTATGACGTATATACAGGGCGTTAAATAAGTAAGTAGCTAAAAATGTTATATGGGCTTACATAGCAATAGTTTTCAAGAAACCGAGTTCGGATAGACCGAGTCGTATACCAGTGGCGGAGATACGGACAATCGCTCTCACTGAAAACCCCAGAAATTCGATGCTACTAATATTTTTAAAATTCGTTTAATACAGACCTGTAACTTTGTGTAGTATTTTCAAGAAAAAATATGTTTCTCATTTTATTCCGAAAACTAACCATTTTTTAAATTTTCGTTAACTTTACCAAACATTATACAAAATGTCAAATAGTTCTCGAACTACTCGTTTCTCAAAAAGAGTTCACAGAATTTTTCCATCAGAAATACAGTTCCAAATACAAATTAATCATGATGAGTTCGAAAAAAAAATCAGTTGCGTGAAATTTTGTAGTTTTGTTAGAGATAGCAAAGGATACGACGTAAAAAATTGAGCTAATTAGTTTATTCATGATTGCATTGTATTTAAAATCATAATTCATTCACATGAACTTTTTTTGTGAAACAAGTAGTTCTAAAGTTATGTCAGGTTTAATAAAGTGTTTGATAGTGTTAATGAGCCAAGTTTAAAAAAGCAATAGAAGAAATAAAATTTAATTTTAAAAAAAAAATTTTTCTTGGAAACACCACGAGTTAGTAGTGAGACAATTTTAAAAATATTCAAAGAGGTTGAATATCTGGAGTTTTTAGTCAACTTCCGGCATTTCCTCTATTGATACAAGTGTTTATATCTCGATTTAATGAATTTTTACCGTTAATTAGACAAATCATGAACCTAAGTTTCGTCATTCTGTATCAAACTTCTCCTATTAGAGATATTTTAGAAAAGTTGTTTTTTATTTCAACATCCTTCTATTTGCGGACTCATGTTTATAGATACAGCTTGTTTTTGGTTTAAAGTCACTCAAAGAATCACCCCTGAAAATGTGTCTACTACTGAATTAACCCCCTGTATTTAATTTTTTGAGTATGCTACGAGTAGACCCCCAATTTTTCTTGCTCTGGAGTACTTCTAACTACGCCACTGGCTATTGCTATCCGCGACAGAATTAAATAAGCAGATTCAGATATTTGATTATCCGGTTTCGTGACAATTCCAAATAGCCCGTATTTACACAGCAACCCTGTACGTCTCTGGAGTGACAAAAGTACCCCCGTTCTTTGTCCGTTTCCTTTCTTTTTGCTCTGTGAAATCGTGACGCCGCATCGCTACCGAACAAGCAACCAGCCATCCCTAGCCCACAAAATCGTGTCCTTTGTACGTACCTGGCACGGCAGCCGCCAAGAGAGCCACGAAGAGCGCGAACACGGAGGTGCAGAGGAGTCCTCGCGATGCCATCGTCACTGTCAAGTTCAATAGCGCGACCACGAACCCGGTCTCGATGTCGTCGTCGTTTTAGCAGTCGGGTGACTCTTGTTCGGCCTGATCTGCACGACTGTGCCACGGTGAGGTACACTGGCGATTTGCGGCTCGGTTCTGGCCTATATCCGACCACCTCTTCTGCAGCGGCCAAAGACGCTCCAGCTGCACGTCTGATTTCCACGGGCGGTGATTAGCACCGTTTGGGGATATTTGAGCGCATCTCACAATTTTTAAGTGCCAGGGCCCGAATCTCCCGTAAGTATTGTTGAGTGCGACACATGTCACGAAAATTGTCGCATCGTTCAGAAAATGTGTATTCCAGAATGGTAATTAATTAATTAAATATTTTATTTTTCGCCGATCGACATTAAAGACGTAGTTTCTGTGACAGCTGTCAGGCACTAAAGTGTTACATTTACTGCCTAGGCATTAGAATCATATTTACTGTATTGTTGTATCGTATTTTTTTTTTCTTCAAGCGTATAATAATACTTATATTATATAGTGCAACACCTCCTTTAGAAGCAGCCTATTGTTTAACTAGTACAAATATTTTTAATTTTTTAACTAGTAAAAAAATGTAACAATGTGTAGATAAGTATCCTAGCAACGAATTAAAGATTCAAGAAGCTTTGACGTTTCATTAAGTGTCAGTTGAAATTTGATGTCGCGTCGGGTCGTTTTTAAAATGTCTGAAGAAATGCAGTGCACACCACCAGAATTACTGGAAATTGCAAATACATCAGTGGCAACACTTATACCAACAAAGTCGAGAAAAATTTATGAAAATGCTTATGATAAATTCATAAATTGGGCAAAAGAAAATAATGCACATATTTATTCAGAAAATGTGATGATAGCATATTTTACAAGATTATCTAGAACACTGAAAAGTTCAACTTTATGGGCACAATATTCAATGGTAAAATCTAAATTAAACATAGAACACAATGTAAATATTGAGAAATATTCAAAATTAATTACATTTTTGAAACGACAAGGTGAAAATTATAAACCAAAAAAGTCGAAAGTTTTGTCTAAAAAAGAATTTGACGAATTCCTGAATAAAGCACCTGATGATAAATATTTAGCAACCAAGGTATGTACTTTTTAAATTATAGGTAGATATATATTTAACCTTTTTATATTTGTAATACAAAATTTTGTTATAATTTGTAAACTTCAAGTTATTTTATAGTATCCATTATGAGAATAATAAACAATTTTCGGAAATAAAGATAGCTCATTGGAAGAATGTTGTAAAAACTCATAAAAATAGATGTCTTAAAATTACGTCATGTTTTAGAATTCCCTTGCATTTTCCAACTTTTTTTATTGTTACAAAATAATAATTCTATATTTTTTAGGTTGCACTAATATTTGGAGTCACAGGAGCTTGTAGATGCGATGAACTCATTCAAGTAAAAGTTAATGATGTAAAAGATTTGGGAAATATAATATTAGTAAATATTCCCAATGCAAAAACTAAAAAACATCGTTCATTTACCACAATTGAAGAGTTTTATTTAAATTTATGCAGAAAATATGCTACTCTTCGGCCAAAAGACATAACTTTTGATAGATTTTTTATTAAATATCAAAATGGCCATTGTCATCGTGTTGTAATGGGCATACATAAAATTTCAAAAGTGCCAAAAGATGTTGCATCATTTTTAAGGTTGCCAAATCCACATGAATATACGGGGCATTGCCTTAGAAGAACCTCAGCAACTATCTTAGTTGATAATGGTGGTGACATTACAACCCTAAAGCGACATGGTGGATGGAAATCTACCAGCTTCGCTGAAGGATACATTGAAGATTCTGTAAACAATAAGAAACAGATAGCGATGAAAATATTAAACCCATTAGAGTATAATGAACCAAGTACATCAAGCGAAACTGTAAATATTGGTCCTGAAAATAATTTAATCGAAGACTTTTCTGTTAATAATGGTACAATTGTTAACACTGAAACTGAGAACCTTATTACAAGTAACGTATTCAACGACAGAACTGTAAACTTTGAAAAAAAGACAGCCAGCAGCGCTTTAAATATCAACAACTGTACCATACAAAATTGCACATTTAATATTCATGTTAATAAATAAAGTTTGATGATAGACATGTAGGTAATTTAGATGTTTATTCGTTTAATTCAAATTAAAGAAAAATAATTGTTACAATTGTTTTTTATTCATGAATAAAGTGGTTAAAACTGTCATGTTTAATTAATCAATAAAATGTATAAAATGTATAAAATAAATAGTATTACCTACCTACTGATTTTATTTTGTGCTGAGATTGAACATCGCGTTATCCGCTATAAATTTTCAAAATTAGTAATTTTTTATATTCACGCTTGAAGAAAAAATAGTATATGTCACTCGGAGTGGAAGGCTCACTATGTGTTTTGCCCAATTTGCTCAGCCTCGGCTAACGCCTCGACGAGCAAACTTTTGGGCTCAACACATAATGATCGCCTTCTACTCCTAGTAACATAATATACTATTATTAACGAAACTAGTTTTATTTATTGTAAATGTTTATAGTGAAAATAGGACACACTGTACGGGATATCCCTTGTCCTGTCTGTTTTGGAACATTTACTTTGTCTATGTAGGTTGAACTATTTTCACTATACTCTGTTTGGAAATGAAAGAGAGTAATAAAACCCCGAGATAAGAACCGGCCATGGGCGTGGTAATATTTCGTTTCAGGTAATTATCGGGTAACACTAATGCTAACAAAAATGACAGGGATTGGAAAATCGACTATCTACAGACTTTTAAAGGAAACAAAAAATGAACAAGATACTGTAAATCCCCCAAAATCATCTACAGGGAGGTCAAAAGTCGTTATAGATGATTTCTTCAAAAATGTCATTCGCAGAAAAGTACACTCATTTTATTTTAAAAAAGAAATACCAACGCTAAACAAAATTTTAAGTGAACTTTCAGAGGACAACGATTTGCCAAAAATCAGTAGAAGCAAATTATGGGCCGTCTTACGAGAGTTGAATTTTTGCTGGGAAAAGCAGAACAGGAAGTCAGTTCTTATCGATAAAGATGAAATTATTTGTTGGCGAAGATCCTACTTAAGATCAATTAGAAAATTCCGTGACGAAGGGAGGAATATTTATTATCTAGACGAAACTTGGGTCAACGAGGGATATACTGTAACAAAAGTATGGCAAGATAAAAATGTAAAAAGTTTTCGACAAGCATTTTTGGATGGACTTTCAACAGGGTTCAAGGCACCTTCAGGTAAAGGGCGAAGATTAATAGTGACACATATAGGTAGTGCCAGTGGTTTTGTAGATGGCGGTTTACTTTTATTTGAATCTAAAAATACAGGTGACTATCACGAAGACATGAACGCAGATGTTTTCGAAGAGTATTTTACACAGATGTTGGATCTTATTCCTCCGGGGTCTGTAATTGTCATGGATAATGCCAGTTACCATTCACGGCAGACCGAGCGGACGCCTACGACTGCTTGGAGGAAAGCCGATATAATTCAATGGTTATCCGGAAAAAACATTTCTTTTGAAACAAATATGGTGAAAAAGGAACTTTTGACACTTGTCAATCTTAATAAAGATCAGAAAAAATATGTTATCGATGAAATGGCAACAAATCGCCAAATAACGGTACTACGGTTACCACCTTATCACTGTGAACTTAACCCAATCGAATTAGTCTGGGCGCAGGTAAAAGGAGATGTAGCGCGAAATAATACGACGTTTAAATTAAGTGACGTGAAAATTTTGTTAAAAAATTCCTTGGAACGAGTAACTGCAGATAACTGGCAAAGATGTATACATCATGTACAAAAAGAAGAGGAGAAAATGTGGGAACTCGATAATTTAATTGACGTTACTGTGGAACCTATCGTTATCAATCTAGGAGACGAAGATAATTCATCAGAATATTCAGAGGATGAATTTTAATATACCTACTTTTTTATTTTCTTTATTGTACATTTATACAACACTACATTTACTCACCATAATTTGAATTTTCAAAATACATATATTTTTGTGTGGAATAAAAGTCTATTCATTAAATTTAAATAAATATTTTGATAATAATATTGAATAATTTTATTTGAATTACTAAAAACCCTCTTAACCCGGTTATGATGCTTAAAGTAGCCTCATGTTTTGAAATGCTGTTTTTATATTGTTTACTTATAAGAGAAATGGACCGAGAAATTGAAGCGGCATAGACAAAGACGGATTGTCGGGGATTAAATTTTAGCTACCTGCTACAATTTAGTACACCGATCGTACAAAGTTTTGTTAAAAGTAGACCTCATCTATACGAAAAATACATAATATAAAAATATTGAATATAAGCACCAGTACTACATTTATTTACGATTTGCATACATAATGAGCTTTTATTACTCTCTTTCATTTCTAAATAGACTATAGTCGATGGTTTATGAACTATTAGATTCTACAAAGTGGTTGAATTACTTAAAAAATCGTTTCAAGCATTGATGTACTTGCAGCAGGGAAATTTTTTTGCTAATAACTGATTTAGGAGTTATGGACTCCTCAACGTATCCTTCAGCTTCCGTTGAAGATTTCCATCCACTACGCAATTTTAAAGTTGTGATATCAATTCCTTAATTTATTAATAGTGTAGTTGAAGTTCTACGGAAACAATATTCTTTGCGAAAATGTTAGACGACTGTCTAAGTTAAAGAACAAAATATTAAAGTATAGTCGGGTACGCAGTCAAAGCCAACTTGAATGTGTACTCTTTTTTATTACTCGAGCTTTCGGAACAAGTTATTCCTACTTCAGGAGAAATTACAATGGAACACATATTTATAACAACAAAATGTAATAATCCAACAAATAACTTACAAAATTGAGATTTGAATCGAAAATTTTCCAAGTTCAGAACAGAGTCCTTTTAAAATAATAGTCATAATCGTTGAATAAGTAAAAAATATAGTGTTAAGAACATTGATTAAAACTTTTGATAAAACATTTACTATAAAATTATTAAAAATTACAACATAATCTAGAGGCACATTGAGCAAAACAATCGAGAACAA